TATATATATATATATATATATATATATATATGGGAAAAGTGAATATGTGGCTGTCATGTATGTAATATTAGGTATAGAATCATCTATATTGACTTCATTTTGATTAAAAAAACATAATTTTCATTCACAGTTAGCTTCTTCCTATTGCTTTTGAACTCATATGATTGTTTATTTTGTAATTTATCTCTAACATCTATGTATTTCGAATGTGTTTTTTATTAAATCTCTAGTAGAAACTTAATAACTTTCTTCGACACCTACCTTGTGTATACTTGCATTATTTGTTTGTTTGTTTGTTTGTTTTTCTTTTGATGGATTATGTGAAGCGGTTTATCGAGTTTCTAATGAACAATTGCAATCTTTCATTATAGTTTTCTGTAATAAATTTCAATATACGCAACCACATGTAGTTGATAAAAAATTTTTATATAGGGTTTGTGGTGCAAAAATTAAACTTATAAAACTTCATGAAAAAAATATACAAAGCCAATTATAAGCTCTAATAGAGGATACAAGAAATATGATAGAGATATTTGATTAAATTTTGTTAAACTTATGTAGTTTTTGATGATTCTATACCTAATATTAGGTACATAACAGCCAGATATTCCCTAAGCCCTATATATATATATATATATATATATATATATATATATATATATATATATATATATGTGTGTGTGTGTGTGTGTGTGTGTGTGTTTAGGGAATATGTGGTTGTTAGGTACCTAAGCTTATATGTAGAACCCTATAAAATATGTAGTTTTGATTATATAATAAATTAATCATGATATCTCACTTACTATTCTTCCTTCATCACGTGACTTGCTAATTCGATCAAATTTGTGTTTTTTTTCATTATGTCTAAGAACTTAAAGCACTAAAAATCATGCCCATTTAATCAACCCCACTAAAATTTAAATTAAAACTAATAGAATAAAATATAAAAGAATAACATGCAATAACTCAATAAAGGTTTTCACAAATCATTGGATATAGTTTTTCAATTGAATAACAAAAGTTTTGAGTTCTATTCATTAAAAAATATTGGTTTTTTACTCTTCCTATAAACTTCAATGAGTTTTTTGCAAATATATACATACATATATATATATATATGTGTGTGTGTGTGTGTGTATATGGCATCGTTTTCATTCTATGATTTAACTCAATTCAATGGTATTATATTACTACAAAATTAAGAGAAAATGAAATTGGATTTGTTTTGTTTAAAACTAAGTCGTTTAAAAGGTTCAATACCTATGCTTAGGTACATAGCAGCCACATATTCACTCTTCCCATATATATATATATATATATATATATATATATATATATATATATATATAAAGAGAGAGAGAGAGAGAGAGAGGAAAGATCATTAAGAACTTATAGTTTCCCGAGAACCCGAGAACTATAAGTGGAGCGTTGGATCAAAAAAAGAGATGGTCAAGATGCACTGTGGAATTTTTGTAAATAAGTCGAAAAATAAAGGGACGGGGGCATCAGAATTAAATGGAACCAGGGGCATTTTGGGGTTATAGAAATTGACTCATATACATGTTGGGTTTTGAGCATTCTAACACTCCCAAGTGTACATGCAACCGTAAATACCTTGGATCTATGTTTTCTCTATTATACATGCAAATATGAACTTTCCAAGGTATTCATCCTAACTAGCATAATAACATAGATCCATATGAATATATCAAGTTAGAATTACATACCTCTTTGATGTAGATTGTCTTCATGAAGCTTGAGTGCCTAGTGCCCCAAGTGTGACACCTCAAATGGTTCACACAACACCAAATACACATGGAATGACCTGAGAGAACTTCACACTTCATGAAAATAGGCTAGCCGTTTCTATTACTCATAGTGAATATTTTCTCCATGAATAAGATCATTATATAGTTAGGGTTACACCATGTAAACACTAATTGTCACGGCCTTTCATTTCCATGATCCATGGAGCATCTTATGGGTTTTAGCCCAACTTGACAATCCATGGAGCATTAGCCCACTATATAAGTATGGATGATTTACACAATCAACCCATATATTTAATTAGTCTTCTTTTGATCACTTAATTAATCCGAGATTAATTATTGATCAATACTAATTAAATAATCTTATTAATATATTAGAACTTATAATATATTAACCGACCTTAATTGTTATTTCTCTTATTATAGTCTATCCAAAGGCATGATGCCATGCAACCCAAATGGACCATGTTGGGTCGGGTCAAGTCTCACCAATTATAGTTATAGACTTAGACATTAATCCAATAGTCTCCCACTTGGATAAGTCTAAAACTATTATTGTGTATGACTTCAAGAACCAACTTGCAATCGTAGCTCTCAAAAGCTTCTGTCGAACTCTGACCTTGCCGATGAACTCTGACCTTTGTCAATGACTTGTCCATTAGATAAGGGATCATATATTCCTCCATTCTAGATATCATATGGACTGAGACATGGATTATAATCATTCTCTTTGTCCATTTGTTGTTTCCCAATTTCCCGATTTCAGAAGAATGTGGGAGATGTAGTCAAGATGACTGACTAGTCTCATACATCTTGGCAGCTTTTTCTTCCACCACCCATCTATCAACTGTTTGTGCGACCCGTGCAGGTTCATCTTGAACTCTATAACTTCCTGAAGATGTCGCCTTCTAATTCTTCTTAAACTTTTTCCATATTGGTATGGATTTACGTGTCGTGCGTTTCTTCTTTGCTCCTCCTGGAACTTGACCATAAAGAGTGTTCAGTGGTGGTAGAGATGATGTCACCCGACTCTGTCTCCTCTATTGGTTCGCTCTCTTCCATTGGTTCACTCTCTTCCCATTCGTTGGAGGGTAAAGCTGCTCCATCGTCAGAAGGTATTGGATGAAAGGTGGTTGGAGTTACAGGATAGTAAGGATCGCCTAACATCATAGTGTCACACCCCCAAACCAGAATGGCGGAAACATTTGGGGGGTGGATGACTTCACGTAGTACCATAACAATTGAATATCGTAAAGAAAGTACACAACCATCATATATATAATAAAAACGTATATTGTTGCGTTATACATATTTCCAAAAGAATATTACAATATGATGATGTAAATGTTTAATAATAAACGTCCTTAGCGTTCCTTCTTCAAAAGTTGGTGGTTACCTGTATTACTGATTCCCTGAGAAATACAAGTGGTTTCGAAAAAGTGTCAACAATTAAGTTGGTGAGTTCATGAGTATTTTGTATGGAAAAAGTATGTCCTTTTGGTAGCAAATCAATGAACGAAGTTTTCAGAAAATCCAATATTTTCTATAAATAGTTTGATAAGTTCTCAAAGTTGGAGTGCGTTAGTATTTTTCATTCTTGAATGATAAAGGTAATCTTTGTGCTCAAAATAATGTAGAAAACTGAATGCATATATGAATCTCGTAAATCAAGCTTGTTTTTATACTTTCATGTGAGTTTTATAACCATGCTATTGACACTGAATGCCAGTAACAACATTCTTCAACATTCTTCAGGTGTTGTAGTGTTATGACATTTGTCACCCCAGACCTGCCGGTCTAACTGTAGCTAACAGTTTAGGTGTGAGGTTGTCAATCCCGTATAGATCTATACACAAGTATCACACTCTCCCTCCAAGAGATTATAGTATATAATACAGGGCTTGAAATGCATACATAAGAGTACGTTGAAGTTTGAATATCTCACATTGCTTAGTATAAATAGATTTACAATAAGACTGACTTTACTTCTTTTGAAAGTATTTCGTTTATCAAGATGTATATGTAAAAATCTACGATTGACCTACTAACTATACCCATTATAGTTTTTCAGAAATTATGTTCTATCTGGTGAAAATAATTTGGTGATGTACTAGCCCTTTATACATAAAGATGTTTGTATCGATATTCTATAAGATAGATATTACAAAAATGATACTTTAATGTGTAATGTACTTGTATTTCCCCCCTAAAACATGAAAAGAATTGAAAGGTAGGGGTATGAACTCACTCGTTTGGTTCGAAGAGAGAGAGGCTAGAGTTGAGCAGAA